AGAACAAATGACATTTACTTGCGCGAAATGTTCGATCATATCCACCAGAATTATAATCATAAGATAACTTTTATGACAACTAATGCCGCGAATGTTCATAAAATTCCACGATTTTATGGAATCCAATACATCATAAGAAACAATTTCCGCATCGCGAGGGCTAACGAGATGTTGAGAAAACACGTGGAAGTAAGCGTAAAACAAGGGTATAAGAACATTGATCTGTTAGACATCTTTAGCACCTCGCAGCCAATCTGGGAATATTCTCGTGACGTGGTAAGTAAATGATAGTGGTGACCAGTATTCTACAAAGTATTTGCTTAAGACGCAGTCGATCTATTGATATTTCATAGGTTCACTACAACAGTTCGGTTTACAATGTACATGCTCGGCTAGTGCTCGATAAGTTGATAGCTTGGCTTGAAAAACAAGTATAAATGATCATACTCCCTTTTCAATTGGGAAATAAGTATGAAAGCCATGAATTGTTATTACAAGATACTTACATTATTTGGCGAAATGTTTTTTAGAATATTTAACTGAAATTTACTATATAGAACTGTTTTCGATTTTTTCATAATCAATTTTCGAGTTTTTTTTTTGGCGTACACTTTATATTATTATTCTTTGATTCTAATCTGCATTGATCGAGGAAAAAGAAATTATACGCGCATACAGTACATCATATGCAAACAATGCGCTACGACTGTCGCCGCGAAACGCGATAACGCGACGCGTAACCACTAAAGACAAATCAGAAAGTAAAGAGGTTCTCCTCTCTTATTTCCTTTTAACATAAGTCGAAATGTAAACAAGGAAAATTCAATATTAACACAAGAGCCGATAGACAAATATTCGTTAAATACGTATTACCACTATACAGTATATTAAGCAAGATCACACTCATCTCATTTTAAATATAACAAAAAGAATGCTAAGGTTTATTTAGAATAGTTTGTAAATACATTTAACTTACTAGAAGATATAAATGTACATAATCATAATGAAGAAAGAAGAATTAAATAATCGAGAACTAAATA